ACTATATAGAAAACCGCTTGTTATGCAGAGCATTTCCGGAAAATAAGGTCAATTTTGTGCCAGGATGCGACCCACGCCAGTCCACTAACACCCAGGTACCCATTTTATACTGATGGGTGAACATGGACAACCGGTGTAAGTTACAGTCAGCCGCTGGTCACCAGACTATCACACCTCCTTCGTCAAGCTGATTTTTTTAAGTTAATGCGGCACTATTCCCAGGTTCCTACTACAAACGTCTGTGACAGAGTTCTCAAATTGCCTCAAACCTGTCAACAAGTCTTTCCTCCTAAAATCATTAGTATGGTCGAATTTCTCGAACAGTGGCTTGCTGTTCCTCAAGGAAAATAGTGAGGCAGTTATGCCTGTGTGTGGTGTGTGTGTGTGTGTGTGTGGTGTGTGTGTGTGTGTGTGTGTGTGGAGAGAGAGGAGAGAGAGGAGAGAGAGAGAGAGAGAGAGAGAGAGAGAGAGAGAGAGAGAGAGAAGGAGAGAGAGAGAGAGAGAGAGAGAGAGAGAGAGAAGAGAGAGAGAGAGAGAGAGAGAAGAGAGAGAGAGAGAGAGAGAGAGGAGAGAGAGAGAGGAGAGAGAGAGAGAGAGAGAGAGAGTAGAGAAGAGAGAGAGAGAGAGAGAGAGAGAGAGAGAGAGAGAGAGAGGAGAGAGAGAGAGAGAGAGAGAGAGAGAGAGAGAGAGATCCTTGAACCCCGGAGCCTCGTCCACTCAGAACCAGCTGACACTCACCACCAGGACGGACGTACATGTGACCATAAAAAGAGTAGCCGCGTGTAACAGTGACTTTAATATAAAATGTCTTACTCAAGGAGTTGAGGAATCAGTGTTTTATTGAACATTTTTATTGTTGTTATCCGGTTAATATTATTACTGCATTCAATGGAGAGAGCGCTAAAACCCGTCGGGGTCACACAGCGCCTGGGGGCAATGGAAGGAATTCAGGCTCGATTCGAGGAACTGAAGTACATATAGCTAAAATTATCATACTTACTGTTGCTGATAATCATTATTATTATTATAGATTTTTGTATTTGCTTTTATAGTTTTGTAAATAGTATTGCAGGTATTTTTGAGAAATATATCCTTCACATTCTTAGTGATATTTCTGAATTTAAACTGAAGGTTGATATTAAATGCGAAAAAACATTTCCTTCTCTCTTATTTCACTTTCAGTCGACAATTTAACTACACCTAACTCCATCAGGGTTGAATCATGATGTTAAGTCCCAATCCTGAACTCTTACCATCTTCTCATGATGGCGGTCTATTGTTTGGTTTCAAACTGCAGTTAAATATTGATCCAGCAACATCATTCTCAAACTTTCGCTTTCCGTCGGTAAAGATCAGGTCGAGATCTCCATCATTCACTGTTGATAATGACCGAGTATTCACTCAGCAATACAACTGGCGATGTATCTGACTTTCTCATTTTGCGTTTAGCAAAGAAATACATGTTTAGTTTGCCCGAAACGTTCCGGCATGATAGTGGCTTTCTTTGTACTTAACAAATCAAAACTGTAATTACACACTGTAACCTCTGCAAAGAAATAAAATCTTTATGTTGGCGGAGGCTGGGAGGAACGGGAGACCGAGGACACAGGTGCAGTGATCATGTAACAGTGTACCTGTTGCCATTCACCCAGTGAAAGTAACCCAACACTTCCATATATAGAACTCAGTGTACACACAAACCTGTTCATGAGGAAGGTGAACGAGGAGAGGAAAGAGGCGGAGAGGACCGGGGAGAGGGTGGAAAAAAGGAAAAGGCGAGACAAAGTAAAAGAGAGGGGGGGGGGGAACCAAGAGAATTTGAGCTGGGGAGATAAGGGGTAAAAGCGAATGTGGGTAGGTTATGAAGGGGAGGAGGGAGAATGAGTAGAAGAGGGGAAGGAGGGAGAAGGGGTAGACGAGGTAGGAAGGCAGCTATTTCTGGATACAGCCAGCCTGTGTGGCCAGAGTAATGGTGGTTTAAAAAGACATGTAAGCAAATACGAGGACATATTAGACATGTTTCGGTCCTGGGACCTTGATCACTTCTAGGTCCCAGAACCGAAACTGTTTCCTAATAACAATGTCTATCTTTGTTCACTTTTCTTAAAACCACTATGTGGGTACCAGTCACTCAGACTTATGCGTCTGAGAGTAATGGTGAATACGCTACTACTATACTCAACATTAGGGCTAGCTCCATAAACCAAGTCAGTGACGGCTGTAATAAATAATACGTGGCAAATGTCACTGAAATGTGTGTGGTGTCAGGTGCAGGTGACAGAAAAGGTGAATAAAGGATGCGCGAGAGATATAGTTGGCCAGGAGGTTGGTGTTACTTTCTTGATGTCAACAGTACCACCATGGGAACAAGAGTATAACTTTGACGATGAAAACGTCAGCAAGTACACTAAGCCGGTACATACAAAAAAAAATACCACTAAAAATACCACGTATAAGTTCTGTCAAGCACCTTAACTACTGGGAACGCTTGGAAGCACTTGACTTGTACTCGTTGGAACGCAGGAGGGAGAGATATATCATAATCTACACTTGGAAAATCTTGGAAGGAATGGTCCCAAATCTGCACACAGAAATCACTCCCTACGAAAATAAAAGACTGGGCAGGCGATGCAAAATGCCCCCAATAAAAAGTAGGGGCGCCATTGGTATACTAAGAGAAAACACCATAAGTGTCCGGGGCCCAAAACTGTTCAACAGCCTCCCATCAAGCATTAGGGGAATTGCCAATAAACCCCTGGCTGCCTTCAAGAGAGAGCTGGACAGATACCTAAAGTCAGTGCCGGATTAGCCGGGCTGTGGCTCGTACGTTGGACTGCGTGCGGCCAGCAGTAACAGCCTAGTTGATCAGGCCCTGATCCATCGGGAGGCCTGGTCATGGACTGGGCCGCGGGGGCGCTGATCCCCGGAATAACCTCCAGGTAACCAGGTACCAAACCAGCTCTCTTAGTAAGAACATAAGAAAAGCTGGACACTGCAGTAAGTCTACTGACCCATACTAGGCACATTTTTCTCAACCCTGGGTGACCAAGCCACCAATTGAAGACTGTAAGAACAGAAAATAGAAAGTTAAATACACAAAGTTAAACAAGGTATTAGACAACACTTAATTCAAATTCAAATTCAAAGTTTATTCTCTATAAAGATTACAATGTTGAATTTACAGAATTTGGTTGTTGTGTGGTTTACATGTAGTTAAATAATGATTACAGAGTGTACCACTAGAATGCCTAGCATGGCTAGGCATTTCGGGCAGACTTAGTTTAATTCTTTATTTTAAAATATTACAAATTATGAGGTAAGTTGGTATTATGGCTAAGTGACTAAATACTAGTTTGTGAGTTTAGCAATGTGAATGCTTTTGTTTTGGCACAGTACATAGTTTCAGTATTGGAGTATCATAGGATTTATTATTTTAAGATTGAGATTAATATTTCTGTTTATGGTCAAATGGGCGAGTGAAAGTGTGAACCACCAGGTGGTATTCGTGTGTAGTTAGTTGATGGGGTGTATCAGGGAGATAAGATGTTTTCTAATGGTAGTTTTGAAGGTGATGAATGTGTCTGCAGTTCTAGAGTTCTCAGGTAGGGTGTTCCAGATTTTAGGGCCTTTGACATACATTGAATTTTTGTAAAGGTTTAGTCGGACACGGGGAATGTCGTAGAGATGTTTGTGTCTGGTGTTATGCCTGTGGGTTCTGTCACAACTATCAAGAAAGCGTTTTAGGTCAAGGTTGATATTGGAGTTTAAGGTCCTGTAGATGTAGATTGCACAGTAGTAAGTGTGGATGTACTGAACAGGGAGTAAATTTAGATCTATGAAGAGTGGGGGGGTGTGTTGCCAGGGATGGGATTTAGTGATTCTTACTGCATCTTTTTGTTGGGTTATTATTGGCTTTAGGTGTGTTGCTGCAGTTGATCCCCAAGCACAAATAGCATAGGTGAGGTATGGATAAATAAGTGAGTGGTATAGTGTGAGAAGGGCATTTTGCGGCACGTAGTATCGTATCTTGGAGAGGATCCCAACTGTTTTGGATACTTTTTTGGTTATGTGTTGGATATGGGTGCTGAAATTCAGGTTGTTGTCAAGGTATAGGCCTAGGAATTTGCCCTCATTATGTCTGGTAATTAGAGTGTTGTTGATCTTAACGTTAATTTGTGTATCTCCTGCTCTGCTACCAAACATAATATAGTAGGTTTTGTCAGTGTTAAGTGTAAGTTTATTGGCTGTCATCCAAGTCGATATTTTGATCAGCTCCTCGTTAACAATGGTGTTGAGGGTGGCAAGATTAGGGTGAGAGATGACATAAGTCGTGTCGTTAGCAAAGAGAATGGGTTTCAGGTGTTGGGATACGTTTGGAAGATCATTGATGTATATGAGGAAGAGCAGGGGACCAAGGACACTTCCCTGCGGAACTCCAGTATCAAGTGGCCGTGTTGTTGATGCTGTGTCTTTAATGGTAACATACTGATACCTATTAGTAAGGTAAGATTTGAAATAAGCAAGCGCATGGCCTCGTATACCGTAATTGAATTAAGGAATACCACTTGGAACCTACAACACAAAGAATAATGGAACATACCACACACCTTCTATACGCTCCCAAACATTGTTCGATGTTTACTTAAGTGAGCTGACTGGCAAGTGTGGATGACGTAACTGACTCACTGACATTCTTAGGAAAGGAAACTCCTAACAACGAATAAGATATCGTACGGCGAAACTAAATAAAAATAATCTACCCAACAGATGGCGTCCCATGCGCCCCTCCTGTGTTTAGTTTAATATCTATTATGCACCCTATATCCATCCTTAACAACTAAACCTGTCACAATGCATAAAGAAATAATAGATTACCGTTTTCCTTTGTCATGATGATAACAGCTGATGATAATGATGATCAGCATGATGTATTTATTAAAAAAATATATATAATAATAATTTATTCACTGATATATTACACGTGGCCTTTCCTTCACCAGGTTGACACCATTGTTAGTGTTGTGTATGGTGAGTGTGGGAGTGTGGGCGACCACTGCCATCAGGGAGGAACGTCAGGTGGTCCTCGACAACTCCTACCCGACTGTCCTCTACATTAACACAGCCCTCGACTCAGCCTCTGCCAACACCAGAGCCGATACTTCAAATGTCATCCACGTTAACCTGTACCCACCTAACCAGGTAGGTCACTCTCCTGCTGTACCTTCGTGTGGCAATGTGCCCTTAGTCCTTCTGTCTACCTATCTGGCTTAACCCTTGTCCAGGTCTAGTGTGGTCGGCATCAACCATGAGACTTGCCCTTGCAAAAAAGATTACTCACTAATACTTGTATTAGTGAACAAGCTTGGGTACAACAGCAACATTTGGTTGTCCTCTTCTAATACTATAGATACACAGACCCGTAGCTTGATTGCTAGCGCACTCAGCTCATACTGAAGTCCGGGGTTCGATTCCCGGGATGGGTGGAAACATTAGGACGTATTCCCTTAAGACACCGGCTGTCTATGTTCACCTACCTGGGTGTTAGTCGCCTAGTGTGGGTCGCATCCTGGGGACAAAAATGATCTAATTTGCCCGAAATGCTCTACATAACAACGAGCTTTCTATATAGTATTATGTTACTGATGTCAGTTAGACCTGTATACTTTGTATTATTATTATTGTAGGAAGAAATTACTCCTTTGTTATACTAGGAGGAGCCTCATGTGTGAAGACACAGAATGGTGAGGGTTACTTGGATTATCTTACCTCCTTACACCTGCTTCCGCCCCGTATCCTCACCCTACCCACCCCATTTTTCCGCTGTGTTCATACGTACCCTGACAACAACATCGTGTCCTCTACATCACCTCTTAGACGTGTCCTCGAAACCATCCCATAATAATTACCGTGTTCTTCCAACCCATTATTACAGCGTATCCCAGACGTACCTTTCCCTGCCCACCTACCCTGTGCCCTTCCTTGCCCAGCAACCCCGTGCTCTCCCTTACCCAGCTACCCTGTGCCCTTACCTGGGTCATCACTCTCTTACATACCAGATATACTAAGTAAATTTCCTAAATTTGCTTGTAACAGATAAGTGGACTGTAGATGTAAATCCAAATGTAAACCTGTTAACCTTTTTGGGGCCTAGTTCCTACGCCTTTTGTGTATCCATATATTCTTGCGCCACCGTCCACAGGATGGATATGGGGTACACAATAAACTAGCCACATCGGTGGCTCTTGATTTATGGAATTGGATCTGTGCTCCAGTTCCCCGAATTAAGCCTGAATGCCTTCCACATCTTCCCCCAGGCGCTGTATAATCCTCCGGGTTTAGCGCTTCCCCCTTGATTATAATAATAATAATAATAATAATTATATTCATGTAGTTGAAGAATTAATCACACTTTCAAAATTTGGGTATCTTTATTTTGCAGACGTTTCGCCAGCCAGTGACTTTATCAATACAGTGCACGGATAAACACGGAAGACTGAAGCAGAGGCGGCAATCAGTCCTTCAGACCTTGCAGCAGATGTTCAGTACCGTAGTTCTGATGATTCAGATTCATCAACACTACGATACTTAACACCTACTACATAATTCCGCAAGGCGAGGGACTGATTACATCCTCTTCTTTAATCTTTCGTTTCTGTCCGTATTGCACTGATCGCTGATAATGCCATTGCTTGACGAAATGTCTAAACAATGAAGATACCCAGATGTTGCACATGTGTCTAACTCTTCAACTTGTCGGTACTGTATACCAGTGACATTATGATTCATGTTGTTTCCTGGATACTTCCCCTCAAGGAAGGTTCCTTGATGTTGGTGAGGGGCTCTTGATTTAGGGAATTGGATCTGTGCTCCACTTCCCCGAATTAAGCCTGAATACCTTCCACATCCCCCCCCCAGGCGCTGTATAATCCTCCGGGTTTAGCGCTTCCCCCTTGATTATAATAATAATAATAATCCTGGATACTTGCACTCATCCAACAGGAACTTTACTTTAGATTTTACCACATGTTAGTACCCTCCGCGGACTGGTAGTGACTCTCGCGACTCCTGCCTGGGAAGTCATGGGAAAGTTGGGGGGGAGGGGGGTCTGTCTCCAGAAGGAGGAGCGAGCCACCAGTGTTTCACGCACCATAACATGAGTAAGTGACACTGGACCCCTAAAAATTCGCCCAACTGTATTTTGTACTTCGTATTGTATTTCACGAAGCGTTAAATCCGTGTGGATCATTGGGGCTTTGAGCGCAGGGCCTGATAGACGCTCTATCCTCTGTCTGGCAATTACGTCTCGGTCTCTAACCCTGATTTGGGGCTTCCTGCAGAAACCTGCAGAACCCAGGCGGGCGGTTGTGGTGCTGAGAGGTGAGGCTGAAGGCACTCTGGTACTGACGCAGGAAGACCCTCCCGCGGGTGTCACCCGCATCGAGGGCTCCATCTCGAACCTCACTAGCGGCCTCCATGGCTTCCACATCCACCAGTTCGGCGATCTCTCCGGCGGCTGCGGCACCGCAGGCGGACACTACAACCCCTTCGGGGTAAGTCAACGTGTGCCCCAGCATTCAGTGCAGCATGGGTTAGATATTACAGCCATGCATTACAATTTGCATGCCTCATATTTGTACTCTGAATAATTGCAAGTTGGAAAGAAATGAAACATATGACAATGTTTCACTTAATAAATAAGATTATATATATATATATATATATATATATATATATATATATATATATATATATATATATATATATATATATATATATATATAATATATATATTATATATATATATATATATATATATATATATATATATATATATATATATATAATATATATTATTATATATATATATATATATATATATATATATATATATATATATATATATATATATATAATATATATATATATATATTATATATATATATATATGGGGAAGTGGAAAAGAATCTTTCCTCCGTAAGCCATGCGTGTCGTATGAGGCGACTAAAATGCCGGGAGCAATGGGCTAGTAACCCCTTCTCCTGTATACATTTACTAAAAAAGAGAAGAAGAAAAACTTTATAAAATTGGGATGCTTAAATGTGCGTGGATGTTGTGCGGATGACAAGAAACAGATGATTGCTGATGTTATGAATGAAAAGAAGTTGGATGTCCTGGCTCTAAGCGAAACAAAGCTGAAGGGGGTAGGAGAATTTCAGTGGGGGGAAATAAATGGGATTAAATCTGGAGTATCTGAGAGAGTTAGAGCAAAGGAAGGGGTAGCAGTAATGTTAAATGATCAGTTATGGAAGGAGAAAAGAGAATATGAGTGTGTAAATTCAAGAATTATGTGGATTAAAGTAAAGGTTGGATGCGAGAAGTGGGTCATAATAAGCGTGTATGCACCTGGAGAAGAGAGGAATGCAGAGGAGAGAGAGAGATTTTGGGAGATGTTAAGTGAATGTATAGGAGCCTTTGAACCAAGTGAGAGAGTAATTGTGGTAGGGGACCTGAATGCTAAAGTAGGAGAAACTTTTAGAGAGGGTGTGGTAGGTAAGTTTGGGGTGCCAGGTGTAAATGATAATGGGAGCCCTTTGGTTGAACTTTGTATAGAAAGGGGTTTAGTTATAGGTAATACATATTTTAAGAAAAAGAGGATAAATAAGTATACACGATATGATGTAGGGCGAAATGACAGTAGTTTGTTGGATTATGTATTGGTAGATAAAAGACTGTTGAGTAGACTTCAGGATGTACATGTTTATAGAGGGGCCACAGATATATCAGATCACTTTCTAGTTGTAGCTACACTGAGAGTAAAAGGTAGATGGGATACAAGGAGAATAGAAGCATCAGGGAAGAAAGAGGTGAAGGTTTATAAATAAAAGAGGAGGCAGTTAGGGTAAGATATAAACAGCTATTGGAGGATAGATGGGCTAATGAGAGCATAGGCAATGGGGTCGAAGAGGTATGGGGTAGGTTTAAAAATGTAGTGTTAGAGTGTTCAGCAGAAGTTTGTGGTTACAGGAAAGTGGGTGCAGGAGGGAAGAGGAGTGATTGGTGGAATGATGATGTAAAGAGAGTAGTAAGGGAGAAAAAGTTAGCATATGAGAAGTTTTTACAAAGTAGAAGTGATGCAAGGAGGGAAGAGTATATGGAGAAAAAGAGAGAGGTTATGAGAGTGGTGAAGCAATGTAAAAAGAGAGCAAATGAGAGAGTGGGTGAGATGTTATCAACAAATTTTGTTGAAAATAAGAAAAAGTTTTGGAGTGAGATTAACAAGTTAAGAAAGCCTAGAGAACAAATGGATTTGTCAGTTAAAAATAGGAGAGGAGAGTTATTAAATGGAGAGTTAGAGGTATTGGGAAGATGGAGGGAATATTTTGAGGAATTGTTAAATGTTGATGAAGATAGGGAAGCTGTGATTTCGTGTATAGGGCAAGGAGGAATAACATCTTGTAGGAGTGAGGAAGAGCCAGTTGTGAGTGTGGGGGAAGTTCGTGAGGCAGTAGGTAAAATGAAAGGGGGTAAGGCAGCCGGGATTGATGGATAAAGATAGAAATGTTAAAAGCAGGTGGGGATATAGTTTTGGAGTGGTTGGTGCAATTATTTAATAAATGTATGGAAGAGGGTAAGGTACCTAGGGATTGGCAGAGAGCATGCATAGTTCCTTTGTATAAAGGCAAAGGGGATAAAAGAGAGTGGCAAAAATTATAGGGGGATAAGTCTGTTGAGTGTACCTGGTAAAGTGTATGGTAGAGTTATAATTGAAAGAATTAAGAGTAAGATGGAGAATAGGATAGCAGATGAACAAGGAGGCTTTAGGAAAGGTAGGGGGTGTGTGGACCAGGTGTTTACAGTGAAACATATAAGTGAACAGTATTTAGATAAGGCTAAAGAGGTCTTTGTGGCATTTATGGATTTGGAAAAGGCGTATGACAGGGTGGATAGGGGGGCAATGTGGCAGATGTTGCAAGTTATGGTGTAGGAGGTAGGTTACTGAAAGCAGTGAAGAGTTTTTACGAGGATAGTGAGGCTCAAGTTAGAGTATGTAGGAAAGAGGGAAAATTTTTCCCAGTAAAAGTAGGCCTTAGACAAGGATGTGTGATGTCACCGTGGTTGTTTAATATATTTATAGATGGGGTTGTAAGAGAAGTAAATGCGAGGGGCTTGGCAAGAGGCGTGGAGTTAAAAGATAAAGAATCACACACAAAGTGGGAGTTGTCACAGCTGCTCTTTGCTGATGACACTGTGCTCTTGGGAGATTCTGAAGAGAAGCTGCAGAGATTGGTGGATGAATTTGGTAGGGTGTGCAAAAGAAGAAAATTAAAGGTGAATACAGGAAAGAGTAAGGTTATGAGGATAACAAAAAGATTAGGTGATGAAAGATTGAATATCAGATTGGAGGGAGAGAGTATGGAGGAGGTGAACGTATTCAGATATTTGGGAGTGGACGTGTCAGCGGATGGGTCTATGAAAGATGAGGTGAATCATAGAATTGATGAGGGAAAAAAGAGTGAGTGGTGCACTTAGGAGTCTGTGGAGACAAAGAACTTTGTCCTTGGAGGCAAAGAGGGGAATGTATGAGAGTATAGTTTTACCAACGCTCTTATATGGGTGTGAAGCGTGGGTGATGAATGTTGCAGCGAGGAGAAGGCTGGAGGCAGTGGAGATGTCATGTCTGAGGGCAATGTGTGGTGTGAATATAATGCAGAGAATTCGTAGTTTGGAAGTTAGGAGGAGGTGCGGGATTACCAAAACTGTTGTCCAGAGGGCTGAGGAAAGGTTGTTGAGGTGGTTCGGACATGTAGAGAGAATGGAGCGAAACAGAATGACTTCAAGAGTGTATCAGTCTGTAGTGGAAGGAAGGGGGTAGGGGTCGGCCTAGGAAGGGTTGGAGGGAGGGGGTAAAGGAGGTTTTGTGTGCGAGGGGCTTGGACTTCCAGCAGGCATGCGTGAGCGTGTTTGATAGGAGTGAATGGAGACAAATGGTTTTTTAATACTTGACGTGCTGTTGGAGTGTGAGCAAGGTAACATTTATGAAGGGATTCAGGGAAACCGGCAGGCCGGACTTGAGTCCTGGAGATGGGAAGTACAGTGTCTACACTCTGAAGGAGGGGTGTTAATGTTGCAGTTTAAAAACTGTAGTGTAAAGCACCCTTCTGGCAAGACAGTGATGGAGCGAATGATGGTGAAAGTTTTTCTTTTCGGGCCACCCTGCCTTGGTGGGAATCGGCCAGTGTGATAATAAAAATAAAAAAAAAAAAAATATATATATATATATATATATATATATATATATATATATATATATATATATATATATATATATATATTATATATATATATATATATATATATTACACACTGTTTTAGTGTTTCATGCTATTCTACAACTCATACTTGTTTACAGAAACAGCATGGGGCCCCCGAGAATTTCAATCGTCATCTGGGTGACTTGGGCAACATCGTGGCTGACGAGTCTGGCGTCGCCTTCGTCAACATCACAGACCCTCTGGTGGCTCTGACGGGTCTCAGGACAGTTGTGGGTCGTGCTGTGGTTGTTCACGCTGGCGCGGATGACCTCGGCAAGGGTGGCAATGAAGAGAGTCTTAAGACTGGCAACGCTGGAGGTCGTGTGGCATGTGGCGTCATAGGATTCGCTTAAGAGGTTCCTACGCAGTGAGATCTGGAGAGGGACGTAGGCTTGCAAGATGCCTGAGGTCACATGGATCCTCTGCACCTCAGGAAACTATCCTTCACCTACAACCACAACAGCTCCAAGTATACTTCCACAATGCTATACAAGTTACTGATGCACATGGCTCTCCAGGTCTCCTTGCATTAAAGAACATAAGAACAGAGCTCACACTGTAGTTGGAATATTAGATCATGTTAAATAGCTTTTACTTACGCTAAAACCATTCCTAAGAACGTGACAAGAAAGAATTCTACCAATTTTTATTTGTCTAATACCATATCATTATATATAAGATATTTTTTATCACATACCGAAAAGTGAGAGACAAGAGATAAGTATAGCACTGGGATATTTATTGAGAAGACGTATCTCTCTGGAGGCTTTTTCCAAAGTTTCCCCGAGCAAAACATTTCACTATATATCTTAGTACTACACATACGTCTATATCAAACAAACGATCATGTCTACGAGGTCAAACATAGACCCCCCCCCCCCCCACCCTGCAATTTGTCAGATTCTCTTGTTGTGAGTAGTGACGAATGTGATAACAAAAAGAATGTATACAGACCAAATAATAATCTATTGTTATATAATGTTATCAGGTAAACATGTATTTTTTGTATTTACATAATATGTTGAAAAAATTGGACCTACGGTGAAACTATACAATTCTTGTATTATTTCCCCCTGAACATCTTAAGTTCTGATGCTGGTGAAGGACTCTTGATCCAAGAGGAATTGGAACTATCCCTCCTTTAGATTAAACCTGAGTAGCTCCCATCCCCTAAGTGGTGGTTGACCTAAAGGGTTTAGAGCTCCCACACGATTATAATAATCTACAATGATCAAGTATTTTAAACTGGTTGCTTAAGAAACTTTTCTACATTCCGCTGAATAGAAGTAAGAGTAAAAAATTATGCACAACACTGTACCAGAGGCCTGGTCTGGGACCAGGGCGCGGGGGCAGTGACTCCCAGAATGGACTATATTTAACCTACATAATGCATGAATCTACTTGGAAAACTATAATATAGTTTCAGTTTAATCACAAAGTTTCTCCTGTGCTTCAGGCCAGCGCTTGGGATCCACGCACCACCCTACATTACAGCTTCATCCCTCAATAAATATTTACGTTTTTTGAAAGTATGGTACACACTGGGTGTTGGCAGTAGTTGTGATGGTGCCAGCAGCAGGCCAGGGGTGTTAGTGGTGGTTTTGACAGTGATGGTGGTTCTAATGATAGTGGTAGTGGTTGTTTTGACAGTGATGGTGGTACTAATGATAGTGGTAGTGGTTGCTTTGACAGTGATGGTGATACTAATGATAGTGGTAGTGGTTGTTTTGTCAGTGACAGTAGTGGTTGCCGAGACAGATATTAAAACAGTTGAGCAAGTTTACTTAGCTCGTTATACAGTAAAAAAAGTTCGTTGTTACTAAACTCTCAGGAGGCATTGCTATGGTGCAGTATTGACCTTCACTGAGGCAGGGTAAGTTATCATTTTCACTGGGAAGCACCAAACCCGTACAAGTCAGACTTCAAACACGGAGACATCCCTTCAAACAAGGGTAACTTGATGCTTGTGAAGGAACTGCTTATAATCCAAAGGATTCCAGCTCACATCCCTCGCTTTTCCTTGAATCTTACCTGACTACCTCCTATCATCCTTGCGGATGTAGCGCTTTCCTTAATATAATAAGTTGTTGTCGTCGTCGTCCACAAGTCAGAGTGGAATAAGCAGAAGGCGAAGGTTACCTTGGACCCCCACATCTCTCTCTCAATTTGACCCTCCAATTAAATCACTCCATAATTAAGGCTTATCGTACATCATCATCCCTTATTTCATATCTCGTTAAGGCAGAACTTAATTATAATATATTCTTGAATATACATAATGTTAAGACCTTACAAATTAATCACAACAGATAACGAAGTGCGTTGTGATCCCTTACAATATTGCGGCTAATTTTAGCCATGTTTGAGTACTCTTTAATTAAGTCTGGTATGATTTTCTAGTTCATCAAAATCATTGGGGTTAAATGATTAGTATGTGTCCTTCCTCCCAGTCGCATTACTTTCCCTCATTCTTCTTATCCTATCCCTCACTTTTGTCTTCTCCCTTTCTTTTACGTTCCATTTTGTCTTCTACGATCCTTACCTTTTCATCTTCCCTGCCCCATCCTTCTTTCTAAAGCGTCCCTCACACATTTCTTGCCTTTATGTCCCACTCCTTCAGTCTCTCCTATCTTCACCCCTTCATACCTCCCTTACCACCCTTTCCTTCCTTTCTTCCTACCCCCTTCCTCTCTCCCTTCTTAACGTAAAGTATTTAAGCTTTCATCTAGCTACTGAACCCATAATGAACTATCAGACGATCCCTGCTGAGATGGACGTCACAGTGCCAGCACCGATGAACGAGTCATCTTATCGCAAAGACAAGTGTTACTTAATTAATTTCCTGACGAATAAACTAACACCAACAAGCAATCATAAAGTGAGAGAAGAATGCCGGGATTGTAAGAACAAGCGGAGTTCCCAAGGATCATTTCTCGGTCCCATGTTGTTCTTGATATACATGAATGACCTGCCAACGGAGATGATACACAGATGAAGTAAAGGATACAGAAAAAGCAGTGCAAAAAACGCTGCAAAATAATACTAACATGCTGCAGGAGGTCATTATTAAAATATACAGTACCACTATGAAACCATAATTTATTTTCACAAGAAACGCTAAACAGGAATGAACAACACAGCAATCTCAAATGTATAGGAAAGCCGGAGCTCCAAATATTTACTACCAGGCTAGCCACAGATTAACGACCTACATTATGAGTACAAGCTTGAAGAAGGTAAGATCACAGCACTGAAACAATATCCTGATAGGACGAGCTCACTAGCGGGCTTCTCCAACAACCATTATCTGCTCTCACAATTTTTCTAATTTATATCAATGACTTTCCAGAAGGAATAAATAGCAATACCGTTTGCAGATGATGAAAAAGTTTTATGCAACGTAGGAATTCAAATTTACTCTAAAATCCTGCACAAATTTTCTTAGGAATAAATTAAAAAATATCTGGATTGTAAAATGGAAAAGAGATCACAACGTATGTAAAATAACACATATAATAGGCAACTGATGCGAGAAAAAAGATGGGGAAGATTTTTTATTTTACCAGGCAGCCTCCAGGTGAGGACAAGCGACAATAATTTAAAATTAGGAAACAGCAGAACAAAAAGCAGACCAAAAAAAAAAAAATATTCATAAATACAGTAATAAATATCTCGGATGGAACAGTGCTGCAACTGCTCAAAACTCGACAAATTATATAATTGCTCATATAGCTACATTTATATAACACACCTCTTCCTCATCCCTGTGTGATTAACAGCACCATTCTTAGATCAAAGATATTCTTACAAACATACATATCATGAATACCTGCCGGCGTCGTTACGCTTTACTGCATCCGTTCCGTAAGTTCATTTTCTTGGAATTTTCAATTTTAACCCCATTACAAAATATAGCCAGAGGTTCAGCGATACTGAAGCTTGTTCTCCCTCCCTCCTGGGTCCACGCGGCTATGTTGTCAACTTTACAAACTGAGACAACGTGAAGGAGAGAGCAAGAAAGTGTTTACATAATGCCAGAATGGGTGATACTGGAACTAATAGCGTAATATCCCAACAGTATTAGCAGCCAAAATTTGACCCCCCTATGTATAACAGTCCACACGATCGTCCCTTACATAAGCTTGAGCTTATGTAAGGGCCTCCGAAATAGTGACGCTCCAGGAAGTGGTCCTGACTATGGCTAATAGCCTTATTTTACTTGACTTGTGAATTACCAGAGGGTGTGGCCATATATGGTCTGGTTTTAAGTATACCATTTAGCTACGGGCCACCTTTAGTACACGGATGATAGTGAGTATATTCAGTTCTCATGACAGTGCCTTCACTACTACGATACATTGTTAGTGTTAACCATGTATATACAACGAGGTATCTCTCTCAGTATATAAATATACACCAAGAGGTATAAATCTAAGTTTATTCATACTGAAAATTTATAACCCATAAGGTGTACATTTCTTAGTTTATCCATACCGACAATTTTCTTAATTACCTATCTCAGGGAATAAGGCATTGTTGATGACTGCGTACAGGTAACGTGCGGCTTTCATGACTCACATGCAGTCGATAGCTTTTAAACCTAACAAAGTAATTAATAAAAATTACTCTACAGCAGCGGACCTCTTAACTGTGTATTGCAAAGTGAAGGTTGTGTCTGCTCCTTTCCAACTGTCCAGATATCCAGATATTTTCACTACTACAAATAGAGAGGTTTGTAATTGGAGCCGCGGACGAAGTTCCATTAGCCATGTCACTACCCTCAGTCATGTGAGTATTGGTCAAACACGCCATAAATGTTCATCATATTTTCGGCGTGGAGCGGTGCACACTATATGTATTCCTTCAGATAAGCAGTATAAAACGCTATATTCATCTTATAGGTAATCTTATAAGTAAAACTGGTCAAAACATACGGTAAGCTTTTATTATTCAGTCTCTGGTAGACTACAGATTATCATCCATGTCAAAAAAAAAAGCACGTACGACAGCTACTGTAATATAGATCTTATCGACACGATACTTTCATCTACTAAAAATGAAGTTTAGGGGACATTTCGTATTTCATAAGCTCACCATTGCTCGTTGCCTACAAGCGCTGTATGACCCTTGCGGGTTTAACGCTTAGTTGATTGTAATAATAGCACTACTCGTGGTGCATTCTATGTAATACTTAGTCACTCTCTCTTTTCTGTATCTTTACCTACGTGATGATCCTTAAGTTTGTAGTGAACTGCTCTCATTACTGATTTTTACAAGCTTAAATAATTTATTGTAAGTAACACGAGAACCATTGTATAGATAGCTTATATGGTAGCTCCTTCGGTTCATATCTGAAAGACCTGGATTCCATCCCGACACAAGATAAATATTGGGCATGCTCCCTTACACCTGCTGCTCTTGTTGACGTAGCAGTGAGTAGGTATCTGGGATTCGGCAGACTGCTGTAAGTCGTATCCTGGGGAAGAGGACCAAAGGATCCCAACGGAAATAAGCCAGACATATTGGGTTATCCAGGGTTACTAACCCTGCGGATAAATAATCGAAGTAAAATCTTTCTATTTTAAATAACTTACAACAGAGAGAGATATGCTTCTTCGGTACATTTTTACCGACTCCGACTCCAGTAACCCAAGAATTGCTTCCGACTCCGACTCCACAGCTCTGTGAAAAACATTTAAAGATTTTTGGCAAAAAATTCGTACGATCACTCGAAGGCAAGGTCCCTCCTCCATAACACCACACTTCATTTTCTATGACTCGTAAAAGAAAACGTATTGCCACATTTTTTCTTATTTAGTTTAGAAGTAAATTAGTCAATACGGGTTTCAACGGTTAGACAAAGTGTCTTGTAGAAAGACAGGTCAAATATCAAAAAAGGTGAGGTACAGATGAATTCGAGGGACGGGGCTAAGGATAATGTGGGCTGGGCTCTTCGTCCATGGATAATGCTGGGGGAGACAGTGGTCGCCCTACCTGGAGGGTATTCCAAGGATCAACGCCCCTGCGGCCCGGTCCATGGCCAGGCCTCCCGGTG